TTGGGACTAATTTCTTCACTTCTTGGGACTTTTTTTTATTTATTCATATCAATTGATATATGTCACGGTTTTAGAATTGGTCACTTAGATTTTCAGTGATGTAGTAGTTCATTTGATAACTATAAGCCGACATTAGGACCATTTTTATTTTTTAATAAATGCACAAAGTAGGGTAGGGTTAAAAGCCCTGTGAGTTTTCTTCTGTAGGCACAATAGAAAGTGACAGGAAATCCTTCGAAAGTGAGGAGAATCCCCTTTTAGAAAGCTGTCACCAGAATAAGTGTTTCCATTGTAAGATGTCACCTCTTCTGTTCTAGTCACAGCTCAAAATTTAGAATTTTCCCTTACTTACTGTTCTGGTAAGCATGGTCACCAGGGAAAATAAAGAAAATGATTCTCTATAACAGGGATACAGTCAGCAATAAAAACCTGACAGGTCTAACCCATCATTTTCCATTCAAACTAAAAAAAAGAGCTTTTGGCGTTGGATACTCCTTAAAGACTTCTGTATCCGACCATCATCATACTCCAACAGAAAACCTACTGTCTGCTGCCTGAACTGAGTATTAAAGGATGAGTGCATTTAGAATAGAAGATGCTTACAATCCTATATTGCATCAAGTAATGTTGTATGGGAATAATGCTTTTCTTTTACTTATTGTAAAAATCCATTTCTTGGAGTTCACTGAGGGACACAAGAATTTAAAGACTGTTATACCCCCGCCTACAGGAGAATTTAAATGCTGGCAAACATTTTGTAGCCAGCGCAGTGTGACCCCTTCTACTCCCAGCATGCCTTAGCTTTTTGGAAAAACAGTACCAAGGGCATGATCACAAACATATAGCGGTGGGACCTGTGTCCCTTAATGAACTACAAGAAATGGATTTTACATGAAAAACAAAAATCAAAATCCCATTTTTTTTTCTTCCGTTGAGGGGACACAGGAATTCAGAGATTGCTGGGATGTCCAAAAACAGTACAAATGACTGGGGGGGGGGGGGGGGGGGGGGGGGGGGGACCATAGCAAAAAAACACTAACAGGCCTACAAAAAAAAACAACAAACTGAACGACTTTCTGCAGCTCAAAGAGCCAGTCTGAAGCACCTTATGCTCGAAGCTGGCATTAAATGAGGCCTGAACATCCACCTGGTCAAACTTGGAAAGTACAGGAGCAAAACAGCAGGTGGCTACCTTATAAATCTGGGAAACGGCAGCCTGATGCCTCAAAGCTCAAGAAGCACTCACAGATCTAGTAGACTACCTTGAGGGAAAAGAATGAAACACAATACTTAAGACCTTCAGTATGAAAGATTATCTGTCTGAGCCACCAATAAATGGTGCAACGAGCTAGACACGCATAGCACAAATCAAATCAAAGCAATGGAAGGAAATCTCCTTCTAATATACTAGAAAAAGACAAAGACAGGGAAAGTAGAATAATGTCCTGGTTGAGGTGAAAGGTTGAAATACCTTAGGTAGTAAGGATATCTAGGGTTCAACACCATGTGGTCCTTGTGCAAGACCAGAAAGGGTTCTTTAAAGCTGTGAGCTCAGACACTTGCTTTGCAGAAGTGATGGCAACAAGGATCTCAACCTTTAGGGTGAGAGTGAAAAGGGGAATATTCCTAATAAATTCAAAAGGAGTTTTTGAAGGGTCAAAAGAACCAAATTCAGATCCCACAAAATCATTGGGGAACACACAGGGGGAGCTAAATGAGAGACATCCTGTACAAAGGTCTTAAAGAATGGGAAGCTAGCGGTATTTAGGACAAGACGAAAAGTGCTGAGATCTGACCCTTGATGGTACTTAAAATGTTACTAAACCTAAAAGCAGTAAAATCAGTCTGTAAATACAGTAAAACATGCTTGTTATACTCATTGTGGAACCTAAGGGGTTATCCTTCTGTATTCTGTAAAAAGGCTATTTGATCCTATCTTCTCTGATCCTCCCCTTATTTAATTGTCCCCAATCCATCTACTGCAAGTACAGAGCACCAGGTGTCACTCTGCACATGCTCAGTTTGGTGTGTATTGCTAGAGAGTTTTTTTTTCCTTTGGGAGGGTGCATGTGATTGGCACAGGGCCAATCAGCACTGTCCAGACAGAGGGATGGGTTATGCAGCAGCATGGGACAGTCAGAGGGAAATGAAAACTCCTCCTACAAGTTAACCAGTACTCAGCTGGACACTGATAGAAGTTACAAGACTGCTCTAACTGCTGATGAGAAAAGGTATTTAGCAGTTTATATTTACTGAAATAATTGCATTTCCATGTTCTGCATACTGTGGGAGACTAGATATAGTGAATGCAGGGTCCTGGGTTTAGTAACACTTTAAGGCACAATTCTGATTTAGGTCCATTTGCAGGAAGACCAGGGTTTGTCTCATGGAGAATTTCTGGGGGGTAAAATTTCTTGCTTCACACCAAGCAAAGTATTCCTTCTATGTGGAATTACAGACTTTACAGGAGTAGACTTCCTAGCCCTTAGCACTGTGAGAATCCTATGTCCATCAGAAACTGGGTTTTAGCAGCCATGCTAAAGCCAGCGACTGTGAAGCAGGATGATGAACCAGTGCCTTGGGATGAAAGATATAGATAATCTGAAATAATCCACAGAGTTTGACAGAAGCCTGACCAATTTGGCGTACCACATCTGCCTGGGCCAGTCCAAAGCTATAAGAATCACCAGAATGCACTCGATCTTGATCCTATGGAACAAGGAATGAGTTTCAGGGTAGGAAAGTATAGGCTTTGCTAAACCTACCAAGACTGGAGAATTCACTGCTTCCTTAAGAGGATTTCTTCTACTTGGAGACATATTTGTCCAGTTTCTTGTTGAACTTGACAGCCAGAAGGTCCACAAGTTTTTTTTTTGGTTTGCCAGTATATGAATTCTCCTGTAGGCAGCAGTATAACTCAACAGTCTTTGAATTCCTGTGTCCCTCAATGAATGCGAAGGAAGTCTTTAATGTGATTAGTCTTAACTGTACTTATCTGTAAGTCATTTGGGTGAGGGAATGATCACTGCTTGATGGAAATACACCCCATACTATACCCAGCCTTTTTAAAAGCTTGCAACTGTAATATTCTTTGTTTTTCAATATCACCATAGTGCTTGTTTAGATTTTTGTTGGGGAGGTGTTAAACACACACTAAGGCTCAATGCACTCGTGCTTAAAAAAAATGTTCTTCTAGAGGAGTTTAGTGTTTTGCCTGTAGAAGCAACTGTTACCCTTTAAGAGCATTTTTCCATGGGACTTTAAATGAAGCACAACATTTGCATAAAAAGATTTATTGCATGGGTGAATACTTTATACAAAAACATATGTAAATAGGGGATGGAGGTATGGGCATTACTAGATCACAAATGTATCATGTATATAATGTTGTACTATGTGTCCATGCACATTATGTAGTCTAGAGGCATTTTTAAGCTCAGCATTTAAAGGCAGAAAAAACCCTTCTGTTTTGCATTTCTGGGAGCGTTTTTCTGGCAGAAAAAATGTTAAACGTTCCTAAAGGTTAGTACAAAAACTGCTAAAAATTGTGGGTTTTTTCTACCAAGAGCACTGAGTTTTTTTAAGCCCGTGTGCATGGAGCTTTAAGCTGCGCTTTTAGTGCCCTCCCCAACCGTCTTTCAAAGGCAGCATATAGCTATGTTCACATGCAACAGTCACAATGTTTGCTTCATGCCCATGGCAAAAATTATCCACATATTGTTTGATGGACAGTACCGCCACCGCAACTTCATGCTAAGCACCTTGGCGTGACAATTACAGGGTTAAAACAGACGGAAAAGGGGTCTATTGCCTCCTCATCCCCGTCAAACACCTCTTAAAAGCGATCTGAACATGCATTGCTTTTCAGAAGTGCTACAATTTAGTAGCATATGTAAACTTAGCCTTAGTCTACATTTTCCTCATTTAGGGAGTTGCACTATAAGGAATGGCTAGTAGATCAGCATTATTCCGATTACTTTGCGCTTTGCCTTTCATTATCACAAAATTTTTTCCTAAACAGAACATCTGATATTCACATATTACACAATTTTGTGTATAGTGCTCCTTTAATACTTATACATTTCTTATTGGTGCCTTGGTTTAGGTCCATACCACTGCTCTTTATACCGTGTTAATAAATAAAGCTTAAAATGCCAGTAAATAGGATTGCCTTCTACTGTCACTGGCATTCATGGTGGAAGAGCACAAAGACTGCAGGACTATACTGTGACCACAACAGAGAATGTTTGCGCAATCTCTAAATTAGTGTAAACCTTGACAGAATGTTACACAATTTTCAGGTATTTCTATTCTGTATTGTTGACTTCAAGGTACCTTGTACTTATAGAATACAAAACAATAGTGAAGCCTGTCACTGCTGATCTCTCCTGAAAATACTAGCTTACTGGCTGTGAGACTAATGGCTTCAGCAATTTCTTACTCACTGACCCAGAACACACATGTACATAAGGAGTTATGGCCTCACTCTAACTTTTCTGATCTGCATATTTGAGCCAGGTCAGTATCTTACAGTAGTGAAGCCAGACACAGCAATGCAACTGCCATTTTTAGAAGGTGGTCAGCGGGTTTCCTAAATCAAACATTACACAGAATTTAACCCATTAAATAGTCTAAAAGACTTTATATAGTGAATCTTTTGCTTGGGTATAGTTTGGCGATCTGAACATTTTTGCCCCTTGACAGAAGGTGGCAGAGGGATTTCTCTGACAGAATAGTGTTGAGATGATCACCGTCAAATGACTGTGATCGCCAAGCAGCAGTTGAAGAAGTAATACTGCCTTTAACAACCTAGTCACAGTGAGTGTTGCTGCTGAGAAAGGGGAGCTGGACCTTTAATAAAAAAAAAATATATAATTTTGTTTTAGTTGTGCAGAGCTTCCCAAGATAATAGCAAAGAAGGAATTTTCAGGGTTTAAACAAAATATCTGTAGGATAAAAAGCTGAACTTGACAACATTTTGTTTGGTTTTCCTACCTTTTCCGATGTTTCTTGGTGGCAGGGGAGGTGCTGGTGCTGGCCCTGGCCCAGCAGAACTTGGTGGTGTGTTATTATTGAGCACTGCTCCATAGGTGTCATTCTGAATGATGCTGGGAAGAAAGTTTCTTTGCTTGTCTTTAGCGATGTTGGCTGCATCTCTAGCTAAAGAGGCAACACAAGGCTGCCCTGCATTTTGTCCAATCTGGTAAAAGCTGACTGGTCTGTCCTCCCGGCGGTTAGGACTTGGCTGCTGCACAATAGCAGATAACAGCACAAAATGAATCAGATAAAACAGCACAGGAGATGTGCATTTCACACAATCTATTTTACAGTTTTGCTTTCATTAATGATTTATACAAATTGACAAGTAAAAAAAGAAACATTTTAAGAAAATGCAGCTTGTATTTCTATAATGGATGGTCACCGCCAACCTTAAGAATGAAAAAGTTTTATTAAATAAGTGATCATTGCTAAGCAGATCAACCAATCTATCCTGTACTAGTGTGATTTAAGCAAAGTGAATTCTGATTGGTTGAAACATTCTAATTCTAATTGGTTGGAACTCTTCATAGAGTTATGTTTGTCTCATGGCCAAACATAAGAAATGGATCAGTGTGCTCTCTGACTCATTGCTCTGTGTGTGAGTTCTATGGTGAAAGGCTGTTACCTGTAAAACAACTTAGTGTGCCTTTCCGGACTAAAGATGGGCATGTGGTGATGATCTAAGCACTGAAAGAATGGTATCTAACTATGCATATTCATATGACCAGAGTGTACTTTGTGCAAAGAATGTTCAGGTTTTCAAAAATGGAAAGCCAGCTGGACTCCTCCAAGAAAAAAAAAAACCCTCTGCTGTGTAGGAGGCACCCTCTGGAACCTTAATGCCAGTCCTTTCCATTTCCCCACTAAATGCTGGCACTTCCAAGTACAAGAAGCACATGCAACCCTCCCCACAATGCAGTGCGCATTAGCCCAAAACTAGACCCGAGCTCTGTCCCAATGGTGAGAGGGGGCATGCTTACCAAAGTGCAAGTTCCAACCATTCAATATATATTGTATTTTGTATAGGACTTCTGAAGAAGCCATGGCAGAGACTGTATTGCTGGACAAGATGGTGAGGAAGGAAAGTAAAGGCAAATGAAGATGCCGTTTACACAGCAGGGTGCTAACTTAGATATTTTATTTACAGGCTGCATGTACTGTATAAAAATGCGCTAGCTCACTTGATTAATTAAATTCTATATATAAGAAACATGTTAGTTCTCCTTGTGCATTCTGGCTACATTGCACCAGCCTTGTCAAAGAACAGAAACCTGAGTGTGAAAAGCACAAGGAACACAATAATTGATATTCTTATTCATAGCTTGAACAAGTTTTATCACCAGGTCCTGATTACTTTATGCTTAGCAAAGATGCCAGCTCCTCCCTTAATTACTAATATATCTAATTATGCAGGTACCATAGGCTCATATTATTATAGTTAGTACCATTCCTGCAATTAAAACAACCACAGAACCTGTACAATCGCGTGATGAAAGGAACAAAGCTGACCATAGATGGATCGAAATTCGTCTGGTACAGCAGTGACCGGCTGGGTTTCAATCCATCTATGGCCATTCCCGCTCCACAGAAGTTAATGTAATGATCAATTTATCTCTAGTGGGATTGTTGGAAGACCTTTATTTGATCAGGACCTGCAGCTAATCAGCTGCAGCAGTAATCCGTGTATTCTGACAGCAGAGGAGGAGACAGCTGATCGAAACCCCCCCCCCCCCCCCCCCCCCCCCCAAAAAAAAAACATTCAAGTATAGCCAGCTTTTTGTGTGCAACCCAGTGTACTTGTGCTGGAGGTGTCAAAACGCACTGCTTGCAGACTCCAAATAGCATACTTAAAAGTTAAAACATTTATTCCAAAATAAAACCAACCTGAATTTTATCATCAACATCATCATCACTCTCATCCAGGTCCACATGATGCAGCCTCCATTCATATTCCACATGGACATGGGCATTAAACCTCCCAGTCAAAGCTTGCATCAACTGTTAAAAAGGGGCACAATATGAAAATTAGGATGCAAGAGAAAAAAAATGCATGCACTTACTATACAAAGCCTGGTCTACAGTTTTCAAAGTTAAAAGATAAGTTCACTTTTCTTGACATGTTACATCACTATTCAGGGTGTAACATGTAACATGTTCAGCATCCATCACCTCATCTTCCCTGTGACAGCAAGCAGGGGACCTTCTCCCCACTGACACAATTTGAAAACAGTGTGGCCATGCGGGTTCTGCCCACAAGGCAGCATCATTAATTCTGTGAATGAACTACAACTACCGTTAGGCATTGCGGCTGACAGCTTGTAGTCATCAATAAACTACGTTGGTGAGTGCTCTTGTAGTTCATTGATTCTTCCTGGCCTTCAGTAATTGCCTGCTTGTATCAGAGATAGAGGCAGACCATTGTACTGGCAGTCTGCAGGAGCCTGACATTGCACCAGCGATCTGCTGATAGCAGGTGCAATGCTTTACAAACTCCTAGAAAAAAAAAATAATAAAATGTAAATTTTTTTATTTGTAAAAAATTGGTGTTTAATTATTTATTTAAAGGATAAGTTCATCTTTGGGAACATGTTATATGTTCCACCAGTTTTTAGGATGGAACGTGTAACATGTTCCCATAGCTGCAGCCGCCCCACCTCCCTCTGACAGGTAGTACAGGGAGACGTTTCCCTGTACTCTCTGTCAAATTTGAGAACAGAAAGGCTGTGCAGGGCTCCGCCCACACGGCCGGGTCACTCATTCACAGAGTTCTGTGAATGAGTGCCTACAAGTCCCGGCAGCCTTAGCAGCTGTCGGCTGGTAATGTTCAATGAACCACCATGGCACTGTGGAGTGCTGTGGTAGTTCATTGGAGCTTCCAGGAGATGCCATGCAGGAGACCTGCATGGCATCAGCGATCTACTGATTGTTAGTGCAATGCTTTCCAAGCTCTTTTAGACAAAAATAATTAATGCACATTTTCTACCTGCAAAAAAATGTGCATTTATTATTTTTGGCCAAAAGGTGAACCTATACTTTAAGATACACCTAGGCTTTAAAACAACTGAAAATAAAACACCCTATGCATGGTTAAAACCTAACAAAAATTGAGAGGTCAGTCTGCCCAAAGTGGATATCTCAGGTCTGAGAAGGTGTCAAAGAGCTGACTTACATATTGGGGACTCTCTTCGAGAAATCTCAGCAAGTATCCCTGCATGTCGGCTCAGCAACTGATGTTTTTAAATGCTTGATACAAAAAGATGTGATAAAATAGGGGATATATTATGATAATATCAAAGATCAAGACTTACCAACTCTTCACACTGTGTGTGCTTTAGTCGCTTAGCAATGTCAAGGGGGGTTTCTCCCACTTCATTGGCTGAAACACAGAAAATATACTCATGCAGTTTATGCAGAGGTTCTCTATTTATACTTTCTAATGAAAGCAATCACATTTTCCTATTTCAACTGAAAAATAATGCATTACCATACCAAAGATAAAATGGATATTTAGCTCTGTGTCACAATCCTAAGCAGTACAACAAACATTTTTGGCTGTTGATTTCAAATATTATAGAAAATCACAATGTAAAAGCCAATGGAAGAACATGAAAGATGTGTATATGCGAGTGGGGCTGATTTGCTAAAACTGAAGAAGAGAAATGTGAAATAGCTGCCCACAGCAACCAAACAGCCTTCCTCTTTATGATTAGGTTAGGAATCTATCCAGTTGCTATAGTTAACTCTCTGGAGTTCTGTGCTCTGGTGTTTATAAATCCGCTCCAGTAGATGGATGGGACTTACCAATCTCTATGGAAGCCTTGCCTCTCAGTAGTAATTTAAGGCACTCAGCGTTGTCTGTTAAGCAACAATAATGAAGAGCAGTGCTTCCTTTCACAGTCTGTTTGTCCAAGTTACCACTTTGAAGAGAAAAAAAAAAATCATGTTTAGAAATGGACACAAAAATTAAAACATAAGAAACTATAAACTATAAAAAAAAAAAAACAATGGTCAGTAGATAGTTTTCAGAAATTTAAAAGGCACGCAAATACAAAGAAAAAGCAATAAGGATCCCTTTTGGACCTCTTTTTTTATCATCATAAGAATGAATTTGGCCTCATGCACACTAGGCTCCTCTGAATTTTCTCCTGATAGGAGAAAAGCAGAGTTAAAAATGTGTTTAGACATGTTAAGGCACGTCAAACGTTTGGGCACCCATTTATGTCATTGGCCAGAATATTAACATATTCTGGCCATTTAAATAAATGAAAGCTCAAGCGCTAAATGCACCTATTGATTAGGTGCATTTACACACATTTTCTGCCCAAACACTCTTCTCTTGAACACGAATTTGGTGCATTCAGATTTCTGCCCCTAAATGCTTATGTTTGCATGGACACATCGGCTAACATAGAGGGGCATTTAGGGGCAGAAAAAAAAATCAGCTGCAATGTGCATGAAGCCAAAGTATACATCAACAAAGTAAGTATGCTGCAATGTGTATGAAGCCAAAGTATGGACATCAACAAAAATACAATCCCATAATCTTTCTTTGGAACTCTATATGTGCTCTCAAGGAAATTCAAAGGACCCCAAAACAACATTATTACAATAAAATTACATTTATATTAAATGACCATTAAATATGGCTAAACATGGTCCCACATACATAAAATCATTTGTATACAAAATGTCATGGACTACCTGTGAGTGTGCTCATAAGGTTATGCTCAAAAGGTAATGCTATTTGCACTTCCCCAGGACTAAGATACAATACAGCACATACAACAATACTCTTTGAATCTATAGTTCCACAATCAATCTTGTTTTTGTTTTGTAGTCTTGAGGAAGCTACAAACCCATGAAATGTGGCCATATTGTCCATATATACCGGTAAGTTTGATACAAATGTTTACGTAGGTCGGACCAGTTTTTAGTGGTCATGTAAAAAATGTTTTTTTTTTTTTTGTAAAATGTTTTTGGGTTCTTTGGATTTCTCCTCACAGTACATGTAAAGTCCCACAGATTTTCAGTATTGCTCTACAGACATTTAGAATATAACTGACAATACTTAAAAGATTGAAACCATAGAATACATAAAAAACACAAATATCTGTAAGATATTTAGATGGTATGCATGCAAGCCTGTAACCCTGAGCTCATTCTCAGGTACATTGCCATGCATTTTGCTCCAAACTTACATGGACAAACAAACGTTTTCTATAGACCCGATTACTGTGTTGTATTAGGAAAAATCCAGGAAGTTGCATGCTTTGCACATTACCCTGAGTGGTCCTACTCAAGTCTATAAAAGAGCCACAGTGCAGCAGCAACATGCAATGCATATGCAAATCATATGTCCAATGCATATGCAAATCATATGTCAACACTTTGCTGTCTGCAATCTGATGTGAATGATTTCTCTCTGTAGCTGGGACTACCCAACTCTCGCATCCTGCTTGCACAGCAACTACTGGTAGCAGCAATATCCAACAGGTAATACTTGAAATATGCTCCAATGACTGCAAACATTTTGCATGATTCACCAGATCTAATGTGCCTATCACCACTTAAAGGTATTATTGCTGTAATTATCCTGCAAGTCTTATATTGCGTTGATGCTGTAATTCGAATGTAATTCTACAGCTGGATTATACTTACCAGTTTTGCATTAAAAAGTCAACTATGTGCAGGGAAGTGCGGTCTACCGATCTCACAGCTAGATGTAGGGCTGTCTCACCATGCTCCTAGAAAATAAAACCACAATAATCCACCTTTATCCAGACTATCCATACAATGACCCCATATTAGATAGTGATTGTGTGCAGTCTGTTTAATTTCGTGGAATATAGCATATACAGTGGGCGTTCTATATCAAAACTTCTGCAATACCAGTGGTAGATGTTCACCGACTATGTTCAATAAATATTCAAACTCTACAACACAACCTTTAATACAGATTTTCTACTCATTTTCTCATGTATAGGTGGTAGCATAGTGGCTAAGAGGTTAACATTCTCAGAGTTTCAGTCCAGGGTAAGAATGCGCTGCTGGAATGTCTCACAGTCCAAAATCATTCTAGTAGCTAAACTTGCATGTGAGAAGATTCTAGTGTGTTTATAATGTGACTTTGAGACTACTGTAGGAACATAACACTATCAACTGCTTCAGAAGAAGGGACTAATACAACTATCTTTATGTATTCTGTTAAATCCCAACTCTGGGCTCGCCAGTCCATTAACCTGCATTCTTGTAACATCAGTCTTAAGAGTATCCAGAACCACCTTCCCCACTATAAGCCACATTACTATAGAGAACGTGATCCAGTAGTAAGGTTCTGGAGCCAGCACTACCCTTACCCAAATAACATTTTATTTTTCAGGAAGAACCAACCACAATGCACCACAGGAACACCTATTGATGAAGTGACAGTATTTGCAAAGTATTTTTGTCAATTAAATAGGAAATCTAGCTATAATAAAGGATGATCCATGTGAGTGTGGGCACGGTTATATAAATACTATAGAGGCGGACCCAGCAAGCTTTTTCCAGTATCCCATTGCCTAAAGGCAGCAGCGTAAATCCCATGGCCTACAAAACGGATTCCTGTGTCCTGTACAATAAAGTTTTAAAAAAAGTATATGTGGCTACTAGTAGGCTATTTCTGCACTATATAGTGCATGTTTGGATGAGTTGGAGAAATTAGACTGATGACAAATGGTATAAACGGATGCAGAATATATCAGAGCTATACAGCTGCAGAAAATGAAAGGTCTGTGCACTTACATGCCCGTTAGCTAGTGGAATGGTTTCTGTAAGGTCCACACCATCAGCGTGCAGTTGCACAAGTGCATATATGTCTCTGGTCTTGACGGCATCACACAGACCGTGCAGTTTAGATGCATGGTCAACATATTTCTTTCTTGCATATCGTTTCTCAATGTACTTTGCAGTAATGTAATCTTTTCTAGCATTCCTGAAAAAAAAAAAAAGTACAATGTTCATTATGTAACAATTATGAACTCAGATACAAGGGTATCCGTTATGGGCAACCGGTAGATTTCCAAATGTTGTTGCATTGCAAACTCTAGCAAGCCCAGACACAGGGTAGAGGATATAGTTCAGATCTGCCAAGATATGAATGATATGGCTCTTTTAGACTCAACCCCAGAGGCCTCAATGCATAGGACAATGAACAGAAACTTGCTGATAAAGTGATGGCTCTGTGTATTTTGAACTTCAAAGAGTCTTGTGAATCCTTTCTGCAGACTTGCAGCCCCTTCCCCCACCTTTAAATGCAGCCTATATGTAAAATGTAAAAACATTACCTAAAAATTACTCGCTAGTAGACTATGTAGAAAGAACTAAAAATAAGCACTGGAAATATGTATTAGTATTTCTATTATTTTGAATATGTGTGAAAATTGGGTGCATCAAGTTGGGGTTGTGTAGGTGTGCTTTAAAGACTAACTGAACTTTTATACTACATAGCGCAATGCGCCCCCACATGGTCCTCAGACAACAGGCAACCCTAGGTCCCTGATTTGGCCCCTGGGCAGGGGAAGGGAGTGGTTTATATACCACATTATTTGTTCAAATAAAGTGGCTATTCTCGAAGAAACATTCTATTACATTCTCCTATAACAAATTGTTAGGCATATGTTGTGCAGATATGGAAACACTAGATTTTTGGGTATTTATCCGAGTTTGATCTCACTGTAACTCACATGTCACTACTGGATGCAGGTTTCACAGTATCGACAGCAGGCAGGCAAGCCTCCATGATCTCATTAAATGCTGTATTCCCAATGTTTTTGGCAAGCTGGAAAGAGAATTTTAACACATTTAAAGACAAGTTCAGCAAATGTGACAAACAGTTATCAGTGAAGAGTAAATCCACTCAACAGTTTTTAAGGAGGAAGTAAATGAATTATATACCCAAATGTACTGCTCCTCAAATGTCTTAAGGGCAACTTTTTTTAAACACCCTGCACCAATCACTACAAAAACCAGTCCTACAAAAGCTGTTAGACTAATTATATTTTTAATAACAGACTACAAAGTATTTTCAAAGGATTGCAGAGGCATAACTCAACTTCAAATTCCCCAGTGTTGTGCCTGCCCACAAGGAGTTTTCACTGATCCTGCTTAACTGTTCATATTAAAAATTAGATGCTAATATGCCAAGGCTGGTTAGACTCCTTTATAATACAACCCAGGCGAGCAAGATCGGGGTTCCAATAGTGGAAAAATCCAAGAAGCTGGGGCCTGTCTCACTTTCTGGCTGGGCAACGTCCATCATCATCTAAATCTCTATAAATGTATGAGTGTTCTGTGACATTTAATGAAACACTGTCAAGAGAAATCAAAATAGCCCTAATAACAGGTTTTAGCAGTATATCCCTTAACCACCTGCACCTAATTCAGGCATACGTGCCAGTTACTGGCATTTGTGGAAAATTCAATATGTTCTTACTACTGCCACATTAACTCCTAAATGCCAGCGCCTACCGGCCTTTAAGGGGTTTCTGATACTGAGAGTCAGGGCAGGGTTTATGATCATGTGACCACCGTGATTGGCTGTCACAGCGGTCACATTATCGGAAAGCTCCCGATCGCAAGTAGCGATAAGGAGCTTTCCGATCATGTGACCGCTGTGACATCCAATCACGGTGGTCACATGATCATAAATCTTGCCCTGACTCTCAGCATCAAAAACCTTTTCGTTAGGCGCCAGTAACTGTTCCAGGAGCACGCAGGGCATGAGCTCTCGACATTTTTACATTTTGGCATGCAACTATGCAGCCTCTGGGCATTAAGGCCCACCTGCCGAGAGGCCACATATTTGCATACTCTTGGCGCAAAGAGGTTAAGAACCTGTCGTTATGACAGCCACAAATTACCGCCAAGTTAGGAAACTAGACATAATTAAGACCAACTCCCCATTTAACGGTCAGCCAGGAGATTCCCCAGCCGAAAGCTAAAATATAAACAAAGGTAATGGAATTGCCCAAAACAGCAATGCCCATATTTGTTAAATCACTTATCATTGGATGGGTGGAGCTTGATGGGGAACTAAGACTAGTTCCCCATTAGGTCCATTTTCACATTTGACTGACAGCTGCTAATGGACTGAACAGCAGCTATGGATCCACCCACTGCCATACTCTGTCAATCAAAAGTAAAGTAGACCTGATGGAGAACTAATTTCTCAGGTCTCCATCAGGCTCTGCCCGACCCAGAAACTCCTAAGTCATGCTCCTGTCAGTATGATAGGCGCAGCGACTGGGGAGGAAGCGAGTGAAAGCACTGAGGAAGGAGTGTCCAGTGTTGACACTCTGACCTTCGTGTAGACAGATTCATGTAGTGGTCTCTGACAGGCACATGAATCAGGCACAAGCTCCAGCACTTTTGATGCTGCGACCTGACAGAATTCCAAGAGTGTCTCGACACCCTTTACGAAGTCCCCCGAGTGTCTGAATTGGAATTTACATATTCACTGAACTTCTCAACAAATTTATTATCCTTACAGAAGGGACTACATTATCCTTTATACGATGTAATTTACAAGATATACCATAGGACCTTACAGGGGGTCGTTTCATATCTATAAATTACAAAAATGCAGACATTTATAATGGTTAGGAATCCAATAACAGTAATAATAATGGAAGTATCACTGTCTCATACCAGCAGTTCAGAAGTTCCCAAGACATCCAGTGTGAGGGACTGTATTCTGGAGTAATGCACCCCGAGCTCTCTGTGAATTCCTGAGCACTCAATACAGGTCAGTATACCCAGATTAGTAGAAAGCCAGGTAGGGTCTGAAGGAAAGAAAAAAAAAAGTTCAGTTTTCATTAAAAGGACCATTAAAACGACAACAGCAAGAGCTAAAAGACTTTGTAAAAGTGTACTAAGAACATCACAACTATTTATCCACACCTATACAATATAATTCTCATTTATAGGCTCCATGCACACAGCTGTAAAAATTACACTGATCATATAGACAAGGGTTTTTGGGAACAAAAGTTCCTGCATAATGATCAGTAAAAATGCTTGCATTTAGATATGCTTAAATGTGTAAAGATATGTATATATTTAAATACATAAAATTGCAGTTCTATATCTCTCTTGGGAACTCCAGTGGTAAGTCTCTGCACCATAGTTTCTAGCCCTGTTCTCACCACCTACCTTAGAGTGCCCCTGCTATTGCACTCTCTATATATTAACTTAATTATCCAGCAGAATGAGGCTCTGGTGGAAAAAAAAAAAAAATCCAGCTCTTTTTCGGCTTGTCATGTACTGTATAATTTCAGGACTGAGCTGCTGTCTGCAGTATGGTATTGTAAGCCCAGGCTGACAGGGCGAAACAGCCCCAGTGTCAATGATAGGCAGGGCCCAAAAGAACTGCAATGAATGAAGCTGGCCATCATTCAACCCAGAAGTGGACAGATGTTGAACTAAAAGTTGACTTTCTGTAGGAGACAGCACTAGTAGGAGGTGATGATTGAAGCAATACCTGCCTTTATATATATTTTTTACACTATGGGGCTATTTATTTATAGTTCATTCCTAGAAACTGGAATTCTGCTTAGAGTATTGGGTTTGGGTGGATTCTCCCATATCAGCTCTTTTGAAAATGTATGTACATCTATTTTACAGATATCCATGACTGTTCATAACAATGAGCCAAATCAGATCGGAATGTACGATTCACAGTCCATTTAAAACAGACTTGTCACCTAAACATAACAGATCTTTAAAATGTCTAGATGCTTATCCATGCATTACATGCCATCATCTACTGTAGAAAAATATTTGCGAGTAATTTACTGGCACAAAGCTTGTTTACTCCATTTTGCTTCTCAGAAATGTACATTGTCAACATTTATCAGCCAGCACCACAATCTCCAAATTGGTTCAGCATGGTCACACGCAGCTTAGTGTAATAGAGCCTACCATGGCAAATCACAAATAAGAAAGGGGTGAGAAGCTTTCAGCTGATACAAGAATGTGTGATCGTGTACGTGAATGTGCTAAAACTGTAAAATAAAAAGATGTCATTTATTTTCACCTTTTAGTATAGAAATGCAATTCAATAGCAATCAATCTATCCTTTAGGACTCATCAGCAATTGTAGTGATGGGCCTTGTTTATATATGTATGTGAAGGAAGCATGGACTCAGACAATCCATATTGACACTACAACCAATCAGCTGTACAGTATAGGAATAATATAGAATATAATGAGTTAATCCTAAGGAAATACTGCAAACCTTCTTACAGGTTCTCCATGGCAGGATTACTTTTCTTGTCACAATATTCTATATTTCTTTTTATCACAGCCAGAGGCCTGCAATGGGCAGAAAGTATCCACTTGCACAGGTTCAAGAACTGGTGTTCCCAGAACACTTTACCAACAACAAATTAATTTTAAAGTCATTTGGTCACTAAAATAAAAACCTGGACAAAGATTCTCCCATAAAAACTTCCATCTCCCACTGCCAGTACCACCAATTTCTGCTCTAATTAGATTGAGGTGAAAAAGGATGCAAATTATAAGCACAAATACATTTGCAAAGACAAACCATTTAGGATACTCACACACTGATCTGTTTTTCTTTCATTTTTGGGATTAAAAAATGGAAGAAAAACGCATGACCATTAAATCCTATGAACATCTTCACACTGGTCAGTTGCAGGTCTGTTTTTTTTTTTTAAATCTTTCCTGCTGCATTTTTGGTGCATGTTTGGTGCCATAAAAAAAAATGCACCTCCCCACCCCATTGAAATGAATGGAACACACATCAAAAACACAGCAAAAATGTATCAAAAATGCACCAGTGGCTGTGGGTTTATGTGCGTTTTTGGAAATGGCAAAAAAAAAAACACCAGCAAAACTGCATAAGTATTTGATAATGTAGTGTGAAAGTAGCCTAAAGAGCAGAAGGAAGGTGATTTATGCACACCTGTAGGACATCATTTCTCACAACCAGACCACATTATGGGACACCTGAATGCTTTGGTTTCTAAAGGGAACTTTAAAACTACTCAGGAAAGGAGAGCTTTTGAACTAAGAATGATAATTTTATTTGACTAATCACTATTCAACATTCATAAGACTACTCAAACCTCTGTGGCTTCCCCCCTTCAATTCTATAGCCCTATCCCTGCCTTATCTTACCAGCTATCAAACCTTAATTACCATTGCTGTGTATGTTTGTGGTTTTTTTTCTCTTAGAGATTGTTTTATTAATCACCTGCTAAAACTTTATGCATTAAGACGGCCATAGATGGAGTGACTTTCCTGCAACCACGGAAACACAGTGTTGATAGGGGAATTCCTCCCAAGGAGCATTGTGTTCCCCCTCCTGCTGGGAGAACACAGTGATTACTGCTAGTGGCTATAATAGCCGCTTGCAATAATTGCATGTAAAGTCTGACAGGCTGGTTTGTAACCAAGTTGATTGATTGATTAACCTGGGACAGAAGCCTGACCATACATGGTTGAATCTTGACTAGTCCCTGCTGAACTGGATGAGATTCGAATCATCTATGGCCAGCTTTAGTACAGCTTGGATTTTGATGAAGGGGGTACACACCGAAAGCTTGTCCTGAAAAATGTTTAGTTAGTGCAAATAAAAATGTTTCACAGACAGTACTCAATTGTTTCTGCTCTAATTAGGGTACTCACCATCTAAATTCTGTTCAGAAATCGATGATTTGGGGTGTATCCTGGTCCCCTGCTGTACTCTAGTGATTTCTAACAACAACCCCATTCCTCATTACTGTGTTCAATACCCCTGGAAGTGTCCTCACATACCTTTAAAGGCTTCGTTTTATGATTTAGTTCTACTTTTAGGCAGTTGTAACTCATATTTTGTACTTTTAAGATAATGTAAATGCATATTCAGATCCAAACATATGCGATTAGCAGGCCAGAGATGTGGAATACCAGCCAAGACTTACATACAGCCATAAATTCTAGGAGTTGTAGTTCCACCTTTTAAAGACTGGGGCAAGAATGGACTTAAGGGAAATTTTAAAATTCTTCTTCGGAAATGATTTTGTACATTTTCGCAATGAGCTCATTGTATCATTTGCCTAGAGATGTTTTTCCTCTGCTGCATGTAGCCATCACAGGCACTTTGTACTTTCATTAGAAATTCAATTAGGCATTCTGGAGAGGTGGTGTTAACATTAATGTCAGCACTCAGTAATAAAGAGCTTTATGCAGACTCTGGACTGTGTCCAGCCAAGCATGAATGAAATCCTCTGGAAGAAACTAATTGCGTGAAGAGGCTAAACAATTAAGTTAAGTAACTGCTACCAGAAAGCCTCATAGTACCCTTTTCCAGCATACTGGAAAAGCAGAAGCTTGGTAGTCTGTGTCCTGCAATTTTAGCATATTTAGAAGTGTAAAATCTTTCCTTTCTGCACATTTAGGTACTAGCATTTTAATGGATACATTTAGGGTTAGACGTCACTTGAAACAAAGTTCTGTGCATTTGAAAGGCAGAGAAATCTAGCATCTCTTATATCAACTTCTGGTACATGTCTGTCACTCCTCTACCAGAAAAACAGACTTTCATACCCAACTCACCTATAGCTCATATCCTAGTCTTGCCATGATAACATACCTAAAAAGCTCTCAAGCAAGACTTAATCTTAAGATGGAGAGGAAGGTGAATGACGTCACAATTTCCACCTCAGCCAGTCAGAGGAAGCCTTGTGCTCATTCATAAAACACAAAGCCTCCTGTGAAAATGGCTGAGCAATGCTCACCCTGACTCAATTTTTTTCCAGGAGTGGGACAGAGCTGTATACTGTATATAGCTGTTGCAACATACAGTTTATACAGTGCACACAGCCACTGCATGTTAGTGAAGGAAATAGTTTGGTCCAAAGAAACTATTTAAAGTTCACTTGCCCAAACTAAACCTGGTTTTAAAGTTTACATGAGATTTAAGTTATTGGATTTACATATACTTTTAGCCAATTAATTATACCTGCTGCTCCACAGTCACAGCATACATCATTTCCCGGCATCTTCTGGATATCAGATATAATTTCCTTGGTCAGCTCTTGAACTATATTGTTCTCGCCTGTACTGTGGTCACCTTTGAAAGCATTGTTTAGAGCTTCTTCTTTGCTGTTCTGGAGCACGGACATCCATCTATATAATGTAGACAGAATTTTGTGAGCCTCATTATAAAGGGGGATTGGGTAGGGGACGAGGAGGGGAAAGGGGGAGGGAAAAGGGTAGAGGGGGAAGGAAAAGGGGACAGGGAGGGAGATGGGGAGGGGAAAGGGGGATGGAGAGGGAAAAGGGGGACAGGGAGGGGGATAAGGAGGGGGATAAGGAGGGGGATAGGGAGGGGAGTGGAGGGATTGGTGGCTATTGCAGCTTTAGAAAACCTCACAACAAGAAAGGCCAAAAAACACAAATTATGATCCATGAAGAATAGAAGCTTAACTTACTGACAAAATAAACACATTTCTGGATATCCGGGAACCCTAGAAGTACTTACCATCAAACTTTGATCATAGTCTCTTAGAACTAAAATACATCTCACCAATAAGGTGTCCATCACATGAGATTAAATTCTAGGGGCCGCCCTTTCCGCCTCATCTGTCCCACAGATTCCAAGTCATTTTCTATTGCCACACTGAATTCATTCTGCTCCTTAGATTCTTATTCCATTTTGCCGTTTATACCTTTGTATATAGTTGTGTTGTATTGTACATACTGTATCTTTAAAACATAACATTTACACTAACATGTACTGGATAGTATGTTTCCAAACTGTTCTGCCCTGGTGTTTCCTCTTAATGGTTTTATTCTTAAAATGTAATAAAAATCCATTAAACAAAGAAACCTCACTGTCTTTACAGGCCCATCCATTTGCCTGGATGAATGCAGCTCTGTACGGCACATCAGATAGCAGGGACGCTGGGGTTCTCTGAAACTTGGCATCATTATTATCTCTAGTATACCATAAAACAGCAAGTTACAGAAAAGAATAAAGAATGTAGACGAGACACTCGGGTTAGTTATTCACTGCTCTTACCCTAGTGTCCACCAATCTCTGCTGGCGGAGATTTATGGCATTGTAGTTTAATGCTGGGCTACAGCAAATAATCCTAAACCTAGTTGCAGAGGCATATTACAAAACGCTTGGTTGAAAATCTATGCAGAATACAATATACATATCCAACTGGTTTGAAGTTCTAAAAATGTCTACAGAAAGGAGGATATCATCCCAAGAATGACAGAAGGAGAAAGTCTGATTCTCTTTGGGAAACCTTATTCCTGTAATACTTAGGAGTTAGGATTATGAGGAACTTTGATTGCTTCCTTGTCACAAAAGAGTAAGAGGATAGGGCACACATGCACAGATAACGCCCAACAAGCAAACTCTCACTGCTGATCGGGTTTATGGCCCTCTCGAACAACAAAGGTGCTGGAAGACTTCCTAAAAGCAACCTCGGGGCTTGTGTACATGTGTATTTATTTACATCAGCTTTCCTCCCTTACAAGTCTGTGGTGCTGATGTTAGTTGAGCATGTAACATTTGTATTTAAATCACTAACTTCGAAGTACCTCTGCTGCTTCCAAGGATCCTTGAATCTTTACAGACATCTTCCGGATTACCATTAGACGCTACATCTTACAATGTTAAATTGATTCTAGTCTCTTGTTATGGGGGAACTTGGCAGGCTCCCTCCCAAGCCACGCTCCTGTGAATGAACATTGCCCATTCACACACAGAGGCTCAGGCCCCCCGCTCTTTCCTCATTGACTCACTGGCTGTGACTTACTCCTACTGCTGTGTGAGCCAATGAGGAGAGAGAAATTCGGGAGAGCTACGACTCTCATGCACATTGCTGGATCTAGATGGGGCTCAGGTAAGTATATGTGGGGGCTGAGGGGGGAGCTGCACCCAGGTGGTTTTTTACTTTAATGCATAGAAAGCATTAAGGTAAAAAAAAACTTCTGACTTTACAACCACTGTAGCCTCCCTAGCGGTCTGATTATGTCAGTATTTCTGTGCTCAAAGTAAATTTTTTTGCATGGAAAAATGTCTTTTTTTCTTGTTGGCCTGTAATTTTTAGGAATAACTCACTGAAATCTCTCCGAACAAGAGTCTAGTAAACATGATAAAATTTGAAACACAAAATCATACATTATAATTTAATAAAAAATAATATAATACATTTAATTCAATAATGTAATCAAACCAAAAACACTGAAATTTGAAATAGAGCACCAAGTTCGCACATCACTGAGCAAAGTCGCAAAATCATTTTCAGTGTCTGATGACGAATATCCCCCACAAATCATCACTCAATTCTGCAAGTGGTTCTAATTTACTATCGCTGTTCTCTAGCTGGTCTAAAACCGCTTTTGACCAAAAGGGACGCTTTTTGGACGCCATGGACGTTTCTCAGTTTCCAGGCAGAAAGAACAGTAAAAATGCAGGCAGGGCACAGGACAAAGCACTAGGGACAAAATGTATGTGAAATGGTTTGATACAGTAATGTTTTACTATGTGATTTTAGTGTATTTAGTGAATGTCACTTTTTGACATTTTTAAATTTTCCGCCGGTTTACGTCCCAACGTCACAGGGAACGGAACCCGGAAGACAGATGCCGGCATCGGCCGCAGGAGATGGCCGGGGAAGCTGCGCGAGGGACATCGCGGGAGCGCAGGACAAGGTAAGTGCAGAAGAGATCCCGGAGCAACGCTGCAGGGTATTCCCGAGTGTAGCTCGGGGTTACCGCTTGTGGTGCTGAAACTTTACCCCGAGCTACACTCGGGAATACCGCCAGGGGGGTTAAGTGAGTGTCTAAGCAAACAGATGAGAGGTGGCTGTATTGCACTGTAGAGTGCTATGCAGGTAAACCTAGGAGTACATTTCTGGAAAGCTAAATTGGCATGTTTGGGACTCCTAGGGCGCAGCAGAAACCCTTTACTTAACAGTGACATGTAGTCACTGGATTTGCTGAAAAACAATGTATAAGATTAGTTTAGTGTATTGTACAAGTGCACATTAAAGAAAATCTGCTGTGCCTTTAGTCTTACCCAACTGCCCCTATAAGCGTATAGTGGTCATCTACAAATACTGCGCCTACCCCTTTGAGTAGCTGCTAAATGCCCCAGGAGCCCCAAAATCCAACATGCTCTACTATACAAATATCAACTTCAGCCATGAAGTTGACATAACAGAGGGCTTCTTGGTTCAGGGTTCCCAAGTGTCTATTTTAGGGACATTTTAATAAATAATAATCCAAGTTCTGAATTTTAATTTCAAACTGACACATTAATGAAGTTTAGGTAAACAGACCTGACAGAATGTTTGCTCCCAGGCTCCACAATGATTTTGACAGGCTCCACCTGTTTTATTTAAACACAGTTGTTTTTTTCCCTCAACTTGTAGGACAGGTTAGATCACAAGTATGGAATTCCACTTGTTACAAAGTCAGCATCGCAACACTGAGATGACTTGTTGAACATGGTAAACTATGCATTTAAAATAAGAGTTGTGAAAGTTTGGAAATTCATTAAATGGCTTGCATGTTTGTATTTGTACCATAACAAAGTATGTCTGACCTCTGAAAAAGCAGAGAGTATTCCAGAAGGTTCCATTTATTAACAGGCTGTATTCCTACAAATAAACGAAAGATTACAATCCCTGATATCCCTGTCCAGGACAGTGTCACTTTTAGTGTGTGTTCCATAGAGGAAGGAACCCTATTCCAGTAGCTCCATTTATGACACTAGGTGTTAGAGAAGCAGACTTTGGTATCAACCACTATGAGAAAGATGACCCCAAAGGAATAGAAAAAAGTCAGAGAGGGAACCTTGGTCATGTTGATCTAGAAGTTACAATATTGGGTCTTTTTGGTACAACATGCTTTCCCTATGAAGATTGAGGGAATTAAATAAAGGCTGCACTATAGTGAATAAACAGCCCAAGATATTATGACCACTTAGAATTCTTCTGTAAGGCTAGGTTCACACCTCTGCAGGTTGCGTTTGATCCGTTTCTGCAGTGCGTTTTTGCACGTGTTTTATTCTTGTTTTTGCTGGGGTTTTTTTACTTGTTGCTGTGCAGATTAAAATGCAAAACGCATCAAAAACCCACTACATACTTTTCTGCAGCATCTCCATTGAAGTCTATAGAACCTAAAATGCAATGTTTTGCATTTAGAAAAGTCCCTGACCCTTTCCAAAAAACGCATCGGGTGAAAACGCAAAGATGTGAACCTGTCCCATAGGAAATCATGTTAAATGGACTGCTGTGCGTTTCTGCAAAGTGGAAACCGGAAAGGTGTGAAACTAGACTAAATAATTGCTGCGTCAAAGAAAAAGAAGTGCTCATGATCTATTTCAATGATGAGAACTGGTTAGAGACCATAAAGCAGTCATGGAAAAATCTCATTGAGCCACTGCGTGCCTCTGTTATCGAAAAGGATCACTCTATCAATCCAATGGCACAATGTTCCCAAAAATGTGTGAACACCAGAGTTCTAGAAGATGGCTTTATCATAAAAGAAAACTAATACTTATAAGTGGTATACAAAAAACACTAATTTTCTTACGCATTACAAGACCTTAAGGGTAATGGTGTTTGCAGTATACTGTGGTGGAAGCAGTCTTGTTGTATCATATATTAAAAAGGACTATTTGGATACAATTGCAATTTTTTTATTCATAAGCACATTTTTTCATATTCCTAGGAAGTGCCTATAGTACAGTGATGGCGAACCCGTGGCACGCGTGCCACAGCCGGCACGCCGAGCCTTATCTGTGGGCACGCCAGGAGAATACCGTATTTTTTGCTCCATAAGACGCACTTTTTTTCCCCCAAAAAAGGGGGGAAAATGTCAGTGCGTCTTATGGAGCGAATATAGAGCGGCCGGTCCGGTATTTCCACCGCCGTCGTGTCAGAATACCGGGCCGGCCGCTCAGCTCTGCAGTGGGACCGTACCTGTCCCTCTATCCAGCGGCGTGCTGTCTTCCCGGCTTCTGTAGTGTGCGTGACAGCCGGGTCCCAAGTGCGCATGCGCAAGAAGCAGTGCTCTTTGTGAATGGTAAGGTGGTACCTGGGACACATGACAGATCCCAGAAGCCGCCGGACCAATCACAAAGCGCAGCGCTTCTCGCGCATGCGCACTGGGCATCCGGCTGTCCGACGAGCGCCCACACTACAGAAGCCGGGAAGACAGCGCGCGGCTGGATAAAGGAACAGGTAAGATAAAAAAAAAACTCTGCGGAAGTAAGAGCGGGTACCTGTCAAATTCAGGTACCCGCTCCCCCTCCCTCCCCAAAGGTCAGCAGTCATCTGTACTGTCCGCAGTCTCTGGTCATCCCTGTGCTTTCCGCAGTCTCTGGTCATCTCCTGTACTGTCCGCAGTCTCTGGTCATCCCTGTACTGTGTCCGCAGTCTCTGGTCATCCCTGTACTGTGTCCGCAGTCTCTGGTCATCCCTGTACTGTGTCCGCAGTCTCTGGTCATCCCTGTACTGTGTCCGCAGTCTCTGGTCATCCCTGTACTGTGTCCGCAGTCTCTGGTCATCCCTGTACTGTGTCCGCAGTCTCTGGTCATCCCTGTACTGTGTCCGCAGTCTCTGGTCATCCCTGTACTGTGTCCGCAGTCTCTGGTCATCTCCTGTACTGTGTCCGCAGTCTCTGGTCATCCCTGTACTGTGTCCGCAGTCTCTGGTCATCCCTGTACTGTGTCCGCAGTCTCTGGTCATCCCTGTACTGTGTCCGCAGTCTCTGGTCATCCCTGTACTGTGTCCGCAGTCTCTGGTCATCCCTGTACTGTGTCCGCAGTCTCTGGTCATCCCTGTACTGTGTCCGCAGTCTCTGGTCATCCCTGTACTGTGTCCGCAGTCTCTGGTCATCCCCTGTACTGTCCGCAGTCTCTGGTCATCTCCTGTACTGTGTCTGCAGTCTCTGGTCATCTCCTGTACTGTGTCCGCAGTCTCTGGTCATCTCCTGTACTGTGTCCGCAGTCTCTGGTCATCTCCTGTACTGTGTCTGCAGTCTCTGGTCATCCCTGTACTGTGTCTGCAGTCTCTGGTCATCCCTGTACTGTGTCTGCAGTCTCTGGTCATCCCTGTACCATGTCCGCAGTCTCTGGTCATCTCCTGTACCGTGTCCGCAGTCTCTGGTCATCTCCTGTACCGTGTCCGCAGTCTCTGGTCATCCCTGTACCGTGTCCGCAGTCTCTGGTCATCCCTGTACTGTGTCCGCAGTCTCTGCTAAACCAAAAGCTCGATATTTAGGTTTCATTGCAGTGTTGGCACTTTGAAAGAAATAAGTTGGTTTTGGGTTGCAGTTTGGGCACTCGGGCTCAAAAAGGTTTGCCATCACTGCTATAGTACATTACTCAAAAATATGATTCTTGCATTTTATCAGGAAATACAAGTGTTTATAATAAAGTGGAAAGTAGATGAAAGTTGTTTAGTGTATCCATTTACAACCTGCAGTTCATGGATATGCCTCTAGATGGAGGAATGTGAAAAGAAATATTGTATATACAGTAGATCAAATACAGGCCTCATGCACACTGAGTGTTTGCTTCCCTTTTCTGACAGGCTTTTCTCCTGGAGAAATGCTGCTTAAAAAAAGCAGTAAAGTTTTTGAACCCATTTGCTGTCACACACCCGTAATGCCTAAACTTATTTCTATACTTTACTCGCATTGCAACAGTCTTTCTTCCAATGTTAGGCACACCTACATGGTGAGGTGGGAGCAGGGGCAGACTGACAACTACAGAAAAAAAACAGAGAAAAAAACTGATCATCTGCCCAAGTCTATAACTGGCTTATTAAACAGTGAACATGGAGGGGCGTCACTATGTGGCAATTCAATAATAAAAGGTATCCAGTTCAGCTTGCCAGCCTACCCCAATCTAATCACGGCTATAAACGGCAAGGAACATGGATATATACAACCTTATCAATGAAGGGGGATAAGGAAAGCCAGTTCAAACTGTCAGCCAGTCAGCCAACTATAAAAAACCAAATTAACCTATCTAAAAACATGGGGGGTTTAGTTAGCACACATTTGGTAAGCCACAGACTGACAACTCATGGGGTCCCCAGGCAATAGGGGATCATGGGGCCCGTGTCCTTGCCCAAACTCAAAAAAGTCTATGAAAAAGGTACCAGGGGCATATCATGGGGCCCCCTACTGACCCCGGGCCCTCGGGCAGTGCCAGAGTTTCCAAATGGTCAGTCTGCCCCTGGGTGGGAGGCAGACCTATGGCTCAAAAAACTGGGAAAGAATGGTCCTGGACTTGGTCCACCACTACAGCTTGCACTATAAAGGTCCTGACCAGGTGGTATATGGTACCTACCAGACTCACTCACATAATCCCTGGACATTCTGGTTTATGCTTTAAGGGATGCCAAACAGCATGAGATGTCCTCTATACATGGTGGACCTGCCTGATGCTAGGTTGTTTTTGGTCTAAAGTGTTTGCCCTCATCTACAAATTATTTGGGGTTCATCTATCTAGAGACCCATGGCTCACTCTCCTACACTTCAAACCTCCAAATCTCACCAAAAATCAAATTAAGCTGGCACATTATGTACTCCTGGCCTCTAAATTGACAAATCGCTAATGCTTGGAAGAAACACTTCTCCTAAGTCAAAACTAGGCTGGATGGCTTTTATATCAATGAACATTGGACTAGAACCATTACCAACAGCCGCATGAAATTCGACAAGATCTGGAACCCTTGGGTCACCTGTCGCCACCCTCACCTTCTCCGTGATATTTGAACTTTTCCGCCCCTGTGCCACGAGAGGTCCCCTGCGCCAACCCCCCCAAACACAAGTGTACAATCCAAACACACATGTTCCTGCTGTAAAAATGGCTGTGTGTATAATTGGGTGCTGCAGCGACCGTCGGCTGGAACCGAACAGAATCAGCAAGGGAGAATGTCACCAGCACACAAAGGATCACCAATATGGGTCTAATATTGTTGATCCTCAGTGTGCTGGTGACATTCTTCCTTGCTAACCCCCCCAAACACACACCTTTTCCCCTTCTCTCTTCTAGTATGGAATTTACTCTCTTTCTTGTTTTCTCTCCTCTTTTCCACTTTTTCTGCTTTCTCTTCCTACAATGACCCCCTTTTTTCTTTATTTTTTAGGTTGACTGTCTCGGTCTACTTGTTTCACACATATGTGAGTTTTGACATCGAGATCTATTGTTCGGATTTGATATTGATAAGATCAATGGTGTCAGTGGGAACTTATCTGAGAGGCAGAAATTGCTCACTGCCCAAGGAACTCCTAGGAACTTCTAGAGGAACCATAGGATTCAAGAGAAACCCTGCTCTATATGCCCCTCTTCTAATATGCCTTAAAATGCCACATAGGCTAACACAGAGGTGCGTTTATAGGGTGAAAAAATAAACCAAATAGCTGTAAAAGCGGCATTTTTTACATCCTGTGTGCATGAGGCCTTAACAGTATAGGTGCACCCATTAACTGAACTCAGCAAAGGCAGCTTCATTATTTCATACACTGGATTTTCTGCACCAGTATGTAAGTAAACAAATGAGGAAGACAAGGAATACACAGTTTGCACACAAAAACACACTTACATTTGGCACTCTTGCTCATCTTCAGTTTGGAAATGGTAAGTCCGATCATCTATTGTGAAAAAGTATAATAAAATTATGAGTATGCAAATTAATGCTAACAACCCCAAAAAAGACCCAGGCATTTGCAACTGTTATTGTAGTACGCATTACACAACCTTTATAAACTATAAGGCTCTGTGCACACTAGCATTTTTTTTTAGGCTAAAAAAAACCCACTGGTAATAGTGGTTTTTAGTAGAGGTTTAGTGGTGTTCAGGAGCATTTAGGAGCTTTAGCATTTTATTAACATTTTTACAGTACATGTAAAAATGTAAATAAAAAAGCTAGAAAACAGCTGTTAGGAGCAGTTTAGTAGTGATTAGCATTTTTTTTTTTCTGCTGGAAAGATGCTGAAGTTCATAAAATGCCAATAGCCTAAAGTAGTGTGCATACACACATAGGATAACAGTATGCTTCTAGCAGAAAAAAAAATGCTAGTGTGCATGAAGCCTAACACTGAATTCACTCCCTGGAACCCATTATGTGAAATATGGTGAGTACGCACAGCTTGACTACATGTTCTGTAAGGCAATTGCTCCCTATAATAGAATATGTGTGAAAAAAAGAAGGCAGCTTGTTTCCATATAAGGAAGTGAGTGGCCTAACCGAACTAATGAAGCTGTCCGCTACAGCCTCTTCATGGAACTTTGAAACAGAGGTTTTACAAAAAAGTGAAAGTTGTAAAATACAGATAAAGGTTAAAACCAAAGATTTAGTAATGAAAAAACAAACAAAAAAAAAACAAAAAAACTAGCACACAATAATGTCCCATGGATTTTACAATGCAAAACAACAAAGATATATATAATTTCTACTCAATTAAAATAGTTAATATTCACTTTCCTATTCACAAGCACAGAAAAGATGACTAAAACGTACGAGAGATGAGGTCAAAGCTCTTCTTTTCCTCTGGATTTGTTTTCACTTGGCAGGTCAGCAGGTTCAGCTTTGCAGGAGGTAAGTTGGCCTGACAACAAAGGAAATATTGTATTTAAAAAGCAGTGGTACTGGAGACATCTATCATTACTAAGTGGGTTTTCAAGGAGGGAATCTATAAAGGTTTTATTAGTCGATGGTTGCTCATTTCAACTTTGTATTTTTATTTTCTTTGTAATGTTTTGGATTTGTTTTTCTACATACAGATAAAATATAAAATATGGTTCCCAAAGAATTAGGAGTTCTGTAAAGAGACAGCACAACAGTGGTTGTCTGCCTTGGGGCTTTATTAGGCTGGCTGAAACTTAAGACTGGGCCGTCCAACAGGGGAGTTACTGGGATAAGTCATCCACTTCTGTGTGGAAATTCCAGTGTTAGCTATTGAGGTCTGTTAACAAAATGCTTCTTTTTTTTTTTTTTTCAAGTGGGAGGTGCTAATGGGAGCCTGTAAAGAAGTGAAAAAAAAGCCCAAATCCATTAGGCAACCACTCTACTGGTCAAACAGCCAGATTTGTTTTAGTTTAGGTTTTACAAAATAACAGGGGTGAACAATTAATAATCTGCAGCCAATAATCAGTAAAAAAAAAAAACAAAACAAAAACATTTTTTGTATGAATACAGTACTGTGTTAGTATACGCAGAAGACACTAAAAACAAGAAAGCAGTTGCAAAACCGACCCAAAACTGCAGTCAATCTCCACCAAACTTCTTTGTGAATTAGAACAAAATATCCACTTACTGTGCCATGAGCTATTGTGAGAAAACCGTTCTTAACAGAGCACTTTCTCTTCTGCCACACTTTCCTAATCCTAAAATAAAAAACAAAAATGGGCCCCCATCATTCAAATTCACAAAAAACAGATTAGCATACTGTGCAATAACAGTGAATGTGACTGCTGTCAAGTGTGTGTGTGTGTGTGTGTGTGTGTGTGTGTGTGTGTGTGTGTGTGTGTGTGTGTGTGTGTGTGTGTGTGTGTGTGTGTGTGTGTGTGTGTGTGTGTGTGTGTGTGTGTGTGTGTGTGTATATATATATATATATACACACACACACATACACACACACACACACACACACACAAATTACACAAAGAAACAAGGTGTTTAAAATACTAAACCCATTGATAAGAAGAATTACACTAAAGTGAATATGTTCCACTAGATTGTATGATGCTCTAATGCAAAGTAAACCCTTTAGGCTTATCTGCCTTAGAGACAAGTGGAATAGAGATATTCCTATTATATGTGAAGAGGGCTGGCAGGAATTTTCTGGCTCATGCTCAGCGCAGAGATATCTGCGAGAGATAAGCTTAATAAATGAAGGTACTTTCATAGAGTCTACTTCATCCCTACTCATCTATTTAAAATAAGTGAATGAAACACACCTATCTGCCATAAATGCAGATGGAGATATTTACATACAGTATGGACAAAATTATCACATTTATTTTTCATAATTTTGTCATCCCCAATGATACCTTTAGGTATCACTAGTGACCTGGTTCTTAGTACTTCCAAAAAAAAACCCTTTTTTTTAACGTTTATTCCTCTTTTATGCCAGGAAAATGATAGCATTAAATTGTACATTCACTGAGCCCCTAGACATTAATGCCTGTAAATAACTAGTTATTAAAGGTTTGCCTTACAATTATGAAGCCTAGGTGTGCCCTGCATGGAGGGGGGCTGGGTTGGACTGAACCCAACTCAAATCCCCTCCTTGCCCTGCTGACCTTCCATCCTCTGCCCCCCTACATCAGACAGGCTAGATCAGGCACTGGTGCTCTGCTATAAAACTCCAGGGAGTCAATTATTTTACCTTGAGGCAGCCCATAGATAATTTTATTTCAGTGAGTGTTGATGGGGATATGTCTGCAGCACCACTATTGTGTTTGTGGCAGAGCAGAGCGCTTGGGTGGAGAGAAAAATGATAGGTCTAAGTGTACACACACACACACACACACACACACACACACACACACACACACACACACACACAGAGACAGAGCAGACGGAATGGATATCTCTGTTTCTGTGTATACACACACAGACCTGTCATTTTTTCTCCACGCAAGCGCTCTGCCAGGATATTTCCCTATGTTTTGGTTTTTCCCTGTGTGTGACTACAGTTCCGTCATTACTTTAAAACATTTTAAAACACCGTACACTTGGTTTTCCCCTCATCCACTATTTCCTCTGGAAAACATTTCACCAAAAGCTGTTCTTATTTGTGCCTCCGATCTCTGACATATACACACCAGCCTGTCGATTGGTCATTTCAAAGCGGTCGCCTCACTTTCATTTCCCAGTTGTTTCTCTTCATGTTTACAGGCTTCAGTATGAAAAAACTTTCCTGCCCTGTGATTGTACTTGACAAAGGAGGCAGGGCCTCTGAAATGCGTTGCACATGACTCATTCGCACTTCCCAGTGTATATACGGTTAAGGACAGCCGCTGATGCTGCCGCTTTCCATCTTTGCACGGCAGGCCTGGTTTCCTGTGGATGACTGCTGTAACCTGTCTGAAGACCGTGCTCACCTCTATCAAACACACACTGTCATTTCCATCTTCATCCAATCAGCACATCTCTTACTTGAATGTAAGTTTGGATATTTATAAATGACACATTGTTTTTACTAATTCCGGCACTTTGGCTGCCTTGTTGTCTTCTATATGCAACTGAGGATTCTTCCCAGATCTGATATGCCTAGCAGCAGAATTTCATTTGAGCTTTCCAGCCATCTATCCATCCCTGGTCTTCAGTCTATTGGAACTATTATCAAGGCTGCTGAATACTTGAATCCACCATCCAGAGCCAGGACTTCATTACATCATCAATTCTGGAGTTCCACTAATATGATTAAGTACTTCCTAAACATTTGACTGTTTTTCATGTACCAAACAGAGCACTGAGAGACTCTTCTTTTTACTAATGTGTTCTTCCAGTGGGAAGCCATCCCAGCACGCAGAACACAATGATTACTGCAGGTTAGACAGACTGGATCAACTTGGGTACAATCAGCCTGCCCATACCTGGATGAAATATTGGATGGTCTATGTATGGCCAACTTTACTTTAACATTAGACTTTGGGGTGTGCCATTTTGGACCTTGATACCACCTGAAGATTAACACCCATATGTATGTATGCACCTTATACATCTCCACTAAACATCAGCAACTGAAACATAATTATTTGAACGAACTTGCTTTTAGTGAAAGACAAATGTTCAAAATTACACGCTATTGTTACTGCACAGTAATTTAGTCCTTTTTCTCCTTTTAGTTGTATTGGTTTCTATGTACAATTTGATGTAAATGCATGTGTATCAGTTTCATTCCAATGTTTATTCTTCCTTTGTATAAAATGCATTGATGTACCAGAATTGCTCAATAAACTTGTTAAAAAAAATGATGTTAACGTATATATCTAAAAAAACAATAAAACGCTTATAATTTCCCTTATATTCCAAAAGTAGAGATGAAGGCAAAACTCTCACTTAAAAGAAGCCACTTCTTACCCATCACTCTTCTTGTAAAGGAAGCCAATCCTCTCAGTGCCATGTTCCTTGTTCCCCTGTGGTTGGTGCAGGCTGTATGCAGCGCTCTGGCGGATCTGGGAATCCTAAGGAATGTGAAATATAAAAGGGTTTTGAGCTTACTTCTCTAGTCTTCAAACAATTTAGGAAACCTTAATATGTAAAGCAAATAGCAAGTCAACTGATGGATGAATGCACACACACCACAAAATTGTACAATATACCGATTATATGCTGAACAGTAAAGAAATAAGAACATGAACGAGGTCACATCATAAACATTGGAAATAACACTGGATGAGGATGCATGTAAAAGTGATACGATGAGTTACTATTAAAGAGGAATTCCAGGTATGGATATTTTTATACTTGGTTACATTGCTTCAGTTTAGACCAGTGTAACTGTATATACCAATACCTGGCCGATCCCAATTGGAATCGAGAAATGACTGAATTAGTTACTGCTACTCAAGTAATCTCTGCTTGCTTTCAGGTCCCATACTGAGCAGCTGAGCTACAATGCATTCTCTGACTGGACGAGCTGGAGAACATGAAGACAGTGTCCCACCTCGTCCAAACAGGAAAGCGCTTTGCATTCCTGAGAAAGCATATTCTGAATAGTGGCCGTGTGAAATTGTTGGCATCTGGTGTTCACAATGTAGCAGGGCAGTCTCTCAGCACGGGACAACAAAGCAAGTTGAGAAAAAAAAATTACAACTTTCATGAGGATTGGCCAGGTATGGTATATACATAGTTACATTGGTCTAGCTGGACCAATGTAACTACAGTGGATATAAAAAGTCTACACACCCCTGTTAAAATGTCAGGTTTCAGTGATGTACAAAAAAAATTTCAAAACTTTTTCCACCTTTAATGTAGCCTATAAACTGTACAAGTCAGTTGAACAACAAACTGAAATCTTTTAGGTGGCAGGCAGTAAAAATAAAAAAAAAACTTAAATAATATGGTTCTATAAGTGTGCACACCCTTAAACTAATACTTTGTTGAAGCACCTTTTGATTTGATTCCAGCACTCAGTCTTTTTGGGTATGAGTCTATCAGCATGACACATCTTGACTTGACAATATTTGCCCACTCTTCCTTGCAAAAACACTCCAAATCTGTCAGATTGTGAGGGCATCTCCTGTGCATAGCCCTCTTCAGATCACCCCACAGATTTTCGATTGGATTCAGGTCTGGGCTCTGGCTGGGCCATTCCAAAACTTTAATCTTCTTCTGGTGAAGCCATTTCTTTGTTGATTTGGATGTATGTTTTGGGTCATTGTCATGCTGAAAGATGAAGTTCCTCTTCATGTTCAGCTTTTTAGCAGAAGCCTGAAGGTTTTGTGCCAATATTGACTGGTATATGGAACTGTCCATAATTGCCTTTACCTTGACAAAGGCCCCAGTTCCAGCTGAAGAAAACCAGCCCCAAAGTATGATGCTGCCACCACCATGCTTCCCTGTGGGTTTGGTGTTCTTTTAGTGATGTGCAGTGTTGTTTTTGTGCCAAACATATCTTTTGGAATTACGGACAAAAAGTTTAGCTTTGGTATCATCAGACCATAAGATATTTTTACACATGCTTTCAATCAATCAATGCCAATGGCTATAGCCAGTAGCGCTGATCAGTGTATTCTGGTTGTGGGGAAGTCTCCCTGCTATAATACAATGGCTCAGTGGATAGGATTCCCCCATCCACCTCGAATGTGTGGAAGAGGGAATTGAGTCATGGTTGAAAAAATAAAAAAAAGAACCCCAAAAAACTATGTTATCTATGAGCTGTCTAAGACTAGCTAAGCATATGCAGGGACAGTCTAGTTCTAACAGGTTGTGGTCTCCAGGGATTACATGAGTGCAGTTAAACACATAAAATGTCATTTATAGTTTCTGGCACTAAAAAGTATGAATCAAATAGGTAGGATGTGCACCAGAAGAATAAAAATAAAAAGAATAAATGTGTGTAAAAGTTCAGTTTCCTTTTAAATCAAGGCAGGTAAATACCACAAATGTATAGGTTTTTTTTCCAGAAATCGGAGCCCTCTCTGCTTTAAAATTTTTGAAAATAAAACCAGAAGATTTTGTGTTGAGTATGTTTTTTGTCACCTAGAATGTATACTTTTAAGAGAAAAGCAAATATCGATAATCACTGTCATACTAGCAGGCAGTCATCACAGCAACACAGTTTTAGCCTATCCTGGAATATGTACAGGCCATTTGCAAGATGAGTGATTTATCTTGGGAGGATTTTGTTGTGCAATGTGTTACCAGGGCTGACTGGCAGAAAGCCATTTTATTTATTTTTCATTTAGTCTACATAACAGACAATGCCGTAGTGAGATTCTATGCCAATAGTAGAAAAGCAGGGCTGGGCACTCAGAGGGGGTGATCTCACCACTGAAATCCCAGTGAGCTGCCGATCATTTTTACAAAGTAGACACATATACGAATTATGTCTACTTAAGACGTAACACCACGTTTGTTGGAATAAATAGCAAATAAAAGAGTAATGTAGCATAAACAACTGCTACACAAGCCATATTGTAATTGAATGTTTAAAAAGCTGCCTTTCCTTTTCAATCTGCAGCTCTGCAATTTTCTGTAAAAATCAATGCAATATGACAAACTTAAGGCGTTTTGTACACCGATGGTGCATAGAACACCTCCTGAAAATGTAATTTCGTGCTTATGTGATTGGCTCACTGATTTTCCCATAAGTCTGCACTAAAATACAAATCAGATTTCAGGCATCCTCTTCATCAAACATTTCAGTTTTGATGAGATACTCCATTTTGATGAGGGTTAATTACTTCTAAAGGGATGCAGACCCTGCATTTTCTTCATTAGAACACTGCAAGTGCATCAGCTGATTAATGATTATATAAATCACTCCCATTCAGATTTACTTTGGTTATTGAAAGACAAACAGCTTTTTCTTCAGAACAGAAACAGGTAGGAATCTCCGCAATGTACTGTACTTTGATCACCCTGAGTGAATTGTTTTTCTCAACAAAAGTGGACTTACTTTTTAAGCATGAGGCGGACTATACGAACATCTGTCCTTACCAACTGAATGACAATACCATAGCTACATAAGTCTAATCAGTGAGAGACAGCAATATTCTGAAAATGGAAAATATGCCAAGATTACAGGCTCACCAAGTATGCTTTCCAATGCTTGATTCATTTCACATCAGTGATAAGTACAGTAGATTGCCTTTGAAGCTACAATAGACATGATATAACTGGAGACCAGTTTAGCCAATTTTAGGTCTATGGGCCATCTAAGCCCAAGATAACTAATCTCATGGGATAATATAAAATGTAATTCAAGCATGTTTAAAGACTTTGTCCCAAAAAATGAACTACATCTGGACATTCACCAGCACTCCCCTTTTCTTCATTCACTCCTACTCCACTCACATGTAAGAGAACTCTACTTTAGGGATTGCCGACTCAGTCCTTCATGTCTAACCATTCTTTAAGGTGTATTGGTGGCCATACAAGCTTCGATAGACAATCAGCTTCTTTTCTAAATCGATCACCCAACAGGAATAATAAGTTGATAGAGGACAACACAATCATCTGATAATCCACACAAAAAAGTGGAATTCGATCGATGGATAGGTTATTAATTTTATCTCTGCTTCCCCCAAGCAACCTAATAATCCGATCAATTGAATTAAGATCAAATTTATGACTGAATCATCCTGATGCTGCTGATTGACGTAAAACAACTGATAATTTTCTGCCCTGGCCACTCAACTCAGTTGATCAAATCCAATTTAAAACCAAGTCTAAACAGATCGGAAGAGAAGTTATGGCTATTTGATTGGTTTCTGATTCAATCATTCTGACCGAACTGCACATAGATCAGATAATAAAATCAAAGTGTGTATGGCCACCATAAATTAATATATGCTCTGTGATTAAATTCTGTCACTGCTAGAATTATTATGACCTGCAGAATAATTAAAGCAATTTAAAGTATCTACAGCGAACATCTGTGTGGCCTGGTAAAACATATTTTTAGATTTTTGTTCTTTTGGTCCCATAACTTCTGCTCTATCTAAAAAAAAAAGGTCTTTTTATTATATTATATTAAAAAAAAAAAAAAAAGTGTTTATACATATATTTTTTTTTATTACAACCGGTAGAGCACTTTGGACTTAGTGTACCGTGACTAATACATTAACATTTATGCCAGGATGAACAAGGCACTGGAAGATGGTACACAGCACACAAACGTCATACTCATTGTAGGCATTCTGCTATTATACACTGCAAGCTAGTACAAGCTCCATTATCAGTGTGTTCTGCCAGGCTGAACATCCTTGAATGTAGAGGCTTATGTATGTTTGAGATAGGCACAGGTTTGATGAATCTATTCACAGAAAATGAAAAGAAGCCACAACGCAATAATTAACATTTCCAGACTGTTTTTAATCAATTCATAACTACTTTTGCATTTAGTTTAATTTCACATAAAATAGCGTTTAGAGAAAAATTAATCTAGAAAATTATTCTACAAAATCATGTTGGAAAAGGTGTTCGAAAAACACGTTCCAAATGTACTGCAAATACTTTTCTTACAAATACACAGTTCTGAGTGCTAAGAATTGGAAGATAATCAAAATTATCGAAAGGAATTTCTGAAGATAGAAACATGAGAGCTGCCAATGTGCTGTAAAAGGAGCAGACTCCAGGGCTGTCAATCTTATTCTTGCTTCACTGGTACATCGCTGACCATATTCATGGGTTGGGTCCCTTTCAGGGGGACGAAAAGATACATTTTTAGAAGTACTCAGGGGTTCTCACCAGTAAGGGGTAGCTGGTTGGAGTGGAGATAACTAATTTACAGTTCTCTCAGGATTTGTAATTTCTTGTTTGGGACTTGGAAATTGGTGGCTTGGAGAGATTTTGGGTTGGAAAGAGCCTCAAACCTTGACTACAGGGATTGGGGTCCTAAAAGGGGTTAACCCGCCTGCAGTAGAGACCTGAAAGGGAGCAGGAAATAGTCAGCAGGCGTCTGTGAGGTGTAGTGTGAAACTGCAACAGTTGTGAAGGGACTGGAGGCTGTTGATCA